AAGTAGTAAATATTTTAGGTTTTGTGAATTATGAGAGTCTTGTTTCATCTCAATCACAACTAGTAACTCTAACATTATTGAGAGGATCAGCCATAAATTATGCACAACCCAGTGAGTGTGCTTCTATTTCAATCCAACTATTCTGACCCTATATTGTACATATGACTGCTGTTCATTGATCCTTCTTACACTAGAGCGCCACAAGACTTGACTCATTCAGAGCCTGGCCTGGTGCATCATACTTGACCACATTCTTAATCATGGCTCCTCTGATTGATAGGCTGTGAAATACAGCCATCCACAAACAGCAGCATCCTCATTCACCAGTCTATAAAACTGATCACTACAGCATTTATTCATTGATCCATGATTGTTTTTATTTAGCACATTTCAAAACCTCATTGTAGGGAATTGTTGCTCATTTTAGTGGGAAGAATATAATGTTCCTACCCAATGTTTGGCACATGAAGAGCTTGACAGTGAGTTCATAGGACATTCAGAGTCACAAGCAGATACCTTAGTCCAGCCATGAGTATGTGTATAAATCCAGAAAAAAAGATCAAGGCTGAGAACATGAAAGTCAGGCATGGAGATGCAAGTTGTGGGTTCTGAGAGTGAATATCTCAGTCCAAGTTTTGGAGTCTGTGCTGTGTTTATATAGGAAAATGACATAAAGTTTAAAATGTCTGTGACCTTAATTCCACTCACCTAAGAGCCATGTGATCGATATTTGGGATATCTGAGATATTTGGAATACTGATCAGTGGGTTTGCATTGGCTTTCCTTGCTTGTCAGAATCTAAAGAGACATCATTGTCACTGCCACCAAATGGAATCCAGGTTGAATTTCTTATACTGTCATAGGCAGGTGGGGATTTTACCAATAGTGCTAGAAATAGGCTACCGAAATCAGGAAACACAAAATTATAACCACCCTCATAATGTTTTTTAGGAAGAACTAAAATATGATGGTTATAATATTATTTTATGGGTTTTATAGGGACACACTTCTATCACTGATACTAAATGTGTTAGGTGAAAGTACAGATATTACCTTAACATATTTGCAATTATGTTTAAGAGTGGGTTAGTTTTTCTTCCAAAAGCTTTTTTAATAACACAGTTGGGGGCTGGGAAGGTGTCTCAGTGGTAGAGTGCTTGCCTTGCATGCATGAGGTCCTGAGTTTGATTCTTCAGCACCACATAAGCAGAAAAAGACGGAGGTGGCACTGTGGCTCAAGTGGTAGATCACTAGCCTTGAGCTGAAGAGCTAAAGAACAGTGCCCGGCCCAGAGTTCAAGCCCCATGACTGACCAAAAAAAAAAAAAGCATAATTGAGTTGATCTTCTATTGTGTAAACCATTAGAGAGAAACTTTTCTTGACACATGGTGTCTGTGAAATGTAACAATGCTTGTGATTAACATACATTTCCGAAAATCTAATGCTTTAATTTAATAAGAATAAAATTATACAGGTAAAGAGTGCATTATTTTTACACCTATTTTTCTATATTTCTTATCCTGTTATGAAATGATTTATTCTTAATAAGCACAAAGAAAATATGAGAAAGCTGTGGTACATAAATAACTGCATAATATCATTAATTACTAAGCTCAATTATACTGTGAAGTACCTACAATTGTATGACGCTGCAAAATCCTTATCATGTATTATATTATGTATATAATTCATTTAAATTACATTAATTATACAGATTTTAATGAAGCAGAGACTGCTTTCAATTTTCACAAGTAGAGACAATGATCAAAATATTTATATGTATATTATATGTTTTGTTCTACTGACTTTCTTAAAATAACTCATTTACTCAATATTATTGGCACCTTTACATTAGAGGGGAAAAGTAACACTTTTTTGTAAAAGTATATAATCTTAAATGGTTATTTTATTTAATATCTACATGATTCATGAACCAATTTTGGGAAAATGAAAATTTATCTTATTTTTGTAGTAAAAAACAGTACTTATAAAATTATCTTAAGGTCATTATTCTTATCAGTTTTCTAAGTCCATACTGTGAAGTTCAAATCATAAGGTATTTGGGCAAGTGACTTTTAACATTATATGCCTCGGTTTACCCATCAATAGAACTAGAATAGTGATATTTAAAGAACTATATAACAAGTATTTAAAACAATGCCTAACCCAGAGTTAGTGTTATGGAAGTATTTTTGATTATTTATTTCCTGCTTGGGAGCTCAATGTAGCAGGTTCAATAACAAAGTCCACGTTAACATATATAAAATGGGTTGGGTGCATTTCAAACTTTTTTATGGTTTCATTCACATTAATTAGTTGTGCAAGTATGTTTCATTTTGACATTTCCATAAATGCAAACAATATATCCAGATCAGACTCACCCCCTCCATCACTCTCCTGATCTTCCTTTCTCCTTCCCAAAACAGTTTCCATAAGATTCATCATTCCAGTTTCACACATACTTTATTTTGACCATATTCTTCCTCCTTCACATTGTTTGCCTGGCCCCAAGCACCCCCTTTCTAATAAAAACCTATTTTATATTCCTGTCCTCATATTTTGTGTACCTGCTACTTGCTCAAAGGGGTATTTCACACATTCATTTATAGCAGTTTAATCAAACTCAACCACGCACTTACTCTCTCCCCATCCTCACCATTCCCTTATTCTACAGCTTTCAATGAGCTTCATCTTCATTCACAGATGTAGTGTATTTCTATATTGTTCAACCTCTAACGTCTCTTTGACTCAGTAGTGGGAAGATTTGTAACATTAAAATTCCATAAATGCAGTACAATGGAATCTTGTGGGCTAATTTGTAAATTCCAAAGTGCTAATATAAGAAATTTTTTCTCACATGATGTAGATATTGAACAGTGTAACAGTGAAAATTCTCTTTATCCTTAAAGTTATTAATAAAACCTGTATGACCCATGAGTTAACTCCAACCATATGGGAAAATACAGAAGAACCAAAAAGGTCAGAAGTAACAGATTCAGATCCAGAAAAGTTTGGATGTAGGAAGAGAGGAGAATCCAGGCAGGGATTAAAAAAGAAAGGTAAATTAATGCCTTGCTATCTCTTACCAATTCCTTCTTCTCTTTTGGATACCATTGCTCAGGTCTGGCCCATGTTAATGAAGCTAGCACTCCAACAAGGAAATCTGTGTAGGAACAGGCATTATAGGAAGAGGTTTCTGCTTTCTTTTCACAGCTCAGGTGAAACCAGGAACCCCACCTAAGCTCAGCATGCTTTCCTTCATGTAAGACAGGCTATTTTTTATCCAGGGGTTCTGGCTCCAATAAAATACGGGCTTCTGGAGGACACTCATGGAGTACTTGCTAATGACTTTGTAACAGAGCCTTTTAAGATATATGTCCGCATTGGAATTAAAATCCCTGTTCATATCACAGTGAATGATATGAGAGCTAGTAGAAGATAAATGAGGAAAATGGAAAGGACATATCTTCAAAAGATTCCTTGTTGGAATTTCTGTGGTCTGTAAACCTTGAAATCCTAGGGAGAGAGAGAAAAGATAGAGAGGCAGAGTTAAGTATATATCTAGATTCTAACATCCTGTTTCCTTTCTCCTCATTGATCAGAATTAGACCTTTAATTCTTTTTTTAAAATTTTTTTATTTTTTAAAAAAAAATTGTGAAAATACCATACAGAGGGGTTACAATTACATGGGCATGATAATGAGTACATTTCTTTTTTTGGGGGGGGGGGGCCCGGTCATGGGGCCTGAACTCTGGGCTTGGGCGCTGTCCCTCAGCTCTTCAGCTCAAGGCTAGCGCTCTACCACTTGAGCCACAGCGCCACTTCTGGCTTTTTTTCTTTTTTGCTTATGTGGTGCTGAGGAATCAAACCCAGGGCCTCATGCATGCAAGGCAAGCGCTCTACCACTGAGCTACCTTTCCAGCCCATCAAGCATTTTTGCCTCCTCCTTTGTTTTCCCTTCCCATCTCCCCCTCTCTCCCCACGCCCCCCCCCCCACCAGCCAAAGTGGTAAAGTTTGTCTTTTTTTAAAAAAGTAAATGTTTCACTTAGGATCATCTTGTATGGTCATATTGCTATTGACCTGTTCATCTGCTAGGACTATCTTAGACATATGTAAACAAGAGGTTCTTCTTGTTGTTGTTTTTAAGGTACTATGTGATTTATTTTTTCTTTTGTGATTTTTTTTCCTATTATTCCCTGTTGTCACTGTATTTGATTTTGGTACCCTGGGTATTATATATATGTTTACATGAATTAGGGAGAGGAAGGGAAACAGCAAAATGGTGAGACAAAGGACAAAGGGCAAACCAATGCAACTGCAATACAAAACAATATGTTGAAAATGAACTGAATAACTTGGGGGAGGGATGGGGGGAGGGAAAACGGGAGAAAAGTGAGGGAGGGGGTAACAAGTTTGACAAGGAATGTAGTCACTACCTTCCATATGTAACTGTAACCCCTTTGTACATCACCTTGTCAATAATATTAGATTTTTTAAAAAGTAAATGTTTATGGAATCTTGCTAATCATTGGCAACTTGGATGGGGTGATTTAAGTTTACTGCACCAAAACTGATCACATTACTAGGAACAGATCAATCTACCTTTAAAATATATTCCATTTAGCTTGATGGTTTTCATGTTGCCAAGGTCTTTCTAGCAAAACCCTCCCTGAAACTTAGAGCCACTGATATGTTGTTCAGTGAGAGAAAAATACCAAATATACTTTTTAAATCTAGGAAATACAGAAATCTCATTTGACACAATTCTTTAAAGCTTCATCTGAAAGTGGACTCTAGAGTTGGATTCTATTTTCTTTGCCCATTCTGCTGGCCTAACTTTCAGTTGTTCCAGTGAATTGTGTTGCCCAGAAGACTGTCCATAAAGAGTAAATAAGGAAAACAGATGCCTTAATAAACTCGTGACTGTATATTCAAGCTTTCAATAACTGACTAGTGGTTGGAAGTTATAGAAGTACTTAGATGTGATTTTTCTTTCAGGTGGGAAATGAACAAGGAAGAAATGCTAGAAGAGGAAGAAAAGGCAATGCTGGAGCATTTAAAACAAATTTGCATCCTACAGACCTCTTCGGTCTCAGATAACACAGAGGAACAGTAACCTGCAGGAAACAGAAGCAACCTTATTTTGGGAAACAATTCCATATAATAGAGTAGGATTTTTTTTTTTTTAACAATAGTCAGGATGCACCTTAGATGTGCTGCGAAGCATGAAACCAATGATGGAACAATCCCTGTACTGAAAAAGAATACAGCACATAAACAATAAGGTGCTTCATACTTAGATTTTAAAAATAATTTAAAATGTTTTCTTTCTTCAGTCTTTTTCTTTATTTGATAAAACTGCTGCCATCTCGTGTTCCCTTAGAATTATTTTTTTCCTTCCTTTCAGTCTCGAAGTATCTATGACAACAGGCAAAATGTTTGGAAATCATTTCCCTATGGATTTCTTAATACAACATTTGGATGTTACATTGAATGGAGTCATCTGAAAGTTTCCATTTAATCTTGTTGCTTAGCCCAGGTCTAGGCCTTAATTGCTTTTACTACCCGCTATTGGACTAGCCTCCCTTCCCACATAACGTCTTCTTCATTCAATTTACCTTAATCACAGCCACAAAAAACATTATTCTTGAGCTAGTAGTTTTAGTCACATCACTGTTTATGGTAGTGTTCAGGCCTCCTCCTAAGTCTGATTCAGACTTCTACTCACAATGTTTACAGGCTCCTATCTGAGATGGCTCCCATTCAGGAAAATGCCTGCCATCCTTTAGTCTCAAGTCACATGCTTGCTATGTTTTCCAACCAGAAATCTTTATCTGAAAATTATACTTAAAAGTCATCCCAACATTCTCCACCCAGCAGTTCATAATTTTGGTTACTTATATCCATTGTATTAATACACACACACAAATAAAAAGGTAGAATGTATTTAAATACTCTCTACCAAGAACAATTATAGGTTTTTTAAATTATCCTTTGTATCAGTGTCTGATATTATAAAGACCTGGAAGGCCTTAGATATAATATAAAGTCTCTCTTTATACATCACCATATGCCACTGCAGTGTTATTTATCAAACAGGCAGTTAATAAACACATTGATTAAATGACTGCATTGAGAGAAGACTGCAAAAATGTAACCTTCAGTACATCTAAGAGAAGCCATATATTGGACTATTTTAGACCATATGACATCAAACATCATGCTTTCTGATGTTCTCAGATATATAATAAACTGTCCATGCTCCCACATTCTGTGATTTTTATAAAATATGTGTAGGCTACATAGTTTCCAAAGTAAAGTACTCATGCATTTTCAAAGAAATAAAAGTTTGGAGTGCAGAGGAGGCCACCTAGAGAAATGTCTTGCATTTTTACTTGAAATAAAACTCATAAATGGCCATGTAGCCAGATGCCTGCTAAATAACACATTTTATTTTTAAGAAATGTACTTTACTTGGCCAGTATAATCACGAACCAAGTGTTTTAAGATATGGCTGAAACACTTTCTAAAAACTCTATCAAGGCCATTTGAAAAATTATAAGACAATTTTATGAAAATTGGACATTTCATCTAATCTAATCTATAAGCAGCTAGCCTGACAATGGACAGAAATAAAACGAGTTGACTATTCCTTTGGCCAATTAGTATTCTATAACTGAATATGCATCATTATACTAGACTAGGCATTAAAATGAAAAGTCAAGATAAAAATAAATTAATCTAATAAATGAAACAAAACAATCTTGTAAAGTTACAAACTTTCCCATTTGGATTGTCTTCTAATGTATTTAAAGGTCATCCATTAAAGCTATTTTTTATTGAATCTATATATTTCTATACTAATCCTAGGAATTGAGTCAGTTCCTTAAGAAAAGTAAACTTCCATGGCATCATTTTGAAAGGAAAGAAATATAGAGCAATCAAAGTTGAATTCTCTTCTGTACTTGTTCAGAAACATTACAATAGCCATAATACAAAAAAAAACCAAGAATAATAATAACCAAGAAAAATAACCAAGAGAAGTCATTGAATGAATAAATTATTTTGACTTCATACTTAATATGATTTTTAAAGTATGATGAATAGTATTGCCAAACAGTTGTTGTTTCTCATATTTAGTTTGCACTTATATAAATAAATAAAAGTAACAAAGTTTCTAAGTCTTCAAATGCTTAGTACAAAATTTCTTCTTCTGTATTACAGGTAACTGTATTTTATGTAATTATAAAGAGATATTTATTTTATTATTGGTTTATCAGTTACTATGTAGAAATATAAATTTTAATAGAATAAAAATATGTCTATTTCAGATGTTTTGTATTGTATTATCTCCATGATTCTTTAGAACAGACTATTGAAAGAGGTGACATTGAACAAGAAGTATTGTATTTATAATCTGCTTTGTTACAGCATTTTGTTATGATATTCACTAGACACTATGTTGGAAATTATCTTTACAACTTTGGAGGGGAGAAGTGAAGGTGGGAGAGGGAAGGGATAGTAAGAAAAAAAGGAGGGGGGTAACAATATTCAACAAGAAATGTACACATTACCTTACTCATGTAACCATAACCACTCTGTATAGCATCTTTACAATAAAATAAAGTTAATAAACTGCTTTGTTAAATGTCAACTCTTTTGTACAACTAAAGATAGTAATAAAATAATTAAAAATAAAAACAAAAAAAGATTCTTGTAGAACAAACCAAAGCCACAAAAACTCACTTGTTTTTATCCTTAATATGTGCACACATATTGTCTTATCATCCAGTTCTCATATTGCTGAGTCACAAGGAAGTTCAGAAATTTTGTAAGTATCTTTCCCAGCTAAGAAGAGTTTCAAGTATACCTTCTTTTAAAGTATTTCATAATACAAGCAGCCTTAAAATGGCTGTACTATGAGACAAAATAGACAAAGTGAATAGACCAATCAGGAAAAACAAACATGATATGATTCCATTATGTAAGCCATCTAAATGAGTCAAATTTATAGAAACAGAAAAAAAGTAAATGGAAAGAATGGTGTTTACCAGAACCCATTGGTAGAAGGCAGAGTTTTTGTTTAATGGGTGGAAAATCTTCTATTTTTAAGTTCACTATTACAATCTTATGTAACATCATCACATGTGCCATCACCTTTACCTAATTCCATTGATTAAAAGTAAGTCACTGAGTTGAGCAACAGTGGCTCTTGCCTATTGCAGTTCTAACTCAGAGCCAGCCCAGGCAGGAAAGTCTGCTAGACTATTATCTAATTAACCACAAAAAACCACACACACACACCCCTGCCCCTCCCCAAACCAGAAGTGGAGCTGTGGCTCCAGTGATAGAGCATTGGCTTTGAGCAATGAAGCTCAGGAACAGCACCCAGGCCCTGCATTCAAGCTCTAGTATTGGGCATAAACACACACACACACACACACACACACACACACACACACACACACACACACACACACACACACACGTATGCACGCAAGCACGCATCCCTAATTCTCACTTATTCCATTCATGGAATCACAAAAAGGGAGGGAATCACAAAAAGCATGAATGTGGAGGTATCATGGGAGCTCCCATCCCCATTAATAGAATAGTCTTTGGGTATGGTACCCCAAGATTTGGACCCTGATCATCCCTGGGCTGTCTCAAGAGGTATGTCAAGAAAGGCAATTTGTTGTACTCATTATCTTGCCATGTAATTGTAACCCCTCTGTACAGTATGTTCACAATAAAAAAAAAAGAAAGGCAATTTGTATGAAGCCTAATTTGCTACTTTTATTTTTCTGTTGATACTTTTTTATCTTAAGCAACTTTTGTTTATTCTGAATTCATAGTTACCGTTTTGTTTTTTTTTCTTTTAAGGCCTATGACCCGTATTGAACTTTTTGTATATAAGGAGAAATAAAAGGTATATGGTGGAAGCTTCAGAGTCTCTTCTGCAGGAGCCTGTGGATGAAGTTGCTGTTCCTCAGTCTTGTCAGCTACTTTTCTGCTTCACTTTTGGGCTTTCCTGTTTGTCTTTTACCATTCTTGTTGTTCTTCCTTAGTTTATCTGCATAGGGTCTCTTCTTTGTTACTCAGATTTCTATTGACAGAATCCAACGAACTTCTACTCTACTGTCTTGCCTGGCATCCTCTAGAATAAATGAATTAAAAATAAATAATCTGCCAAATAGAAGCAATTATGTTTGGCTCGGATACATTATGGCTGGATTTTTTGCTCTTGGCTGGCATGCTGAAATGAATGACTCCCTAGTCATACTGAAAATTCTGGGAAAGAATAAATCTGCCCAGGAAATATCTTCCTGGAAATAATGTAGGGTTGAGTTCTAAAACAACAAAAACTAGTTGTAGTCGCACAATGATCTATTTTTCTTAGTCCTCAGCAGCATGGTAGCTATGAGTGGCATTGTATCTAAGTATTGACCAGTGAGATGTAAACAAAAATGCATTTTACAACTTCAGGGAAATTCTGAAAAGGCATTCTTCTTCTCCTTTTGCTTCCAGCTAGAAAGTGAGCGCCTAGGTGAAAACTCCTGTCTTGTTCAAATCACTATTATTTGGAGTGCAGTGTCACAACAGGCAAATCTTCCCATCTTACAAATACATAATGCAAGAGGAAAATAATATAGAGCAGAGCTTGATGTTACATTGTGTCTCTGAAAAAGATAGAGAGTTAGGAGGCAGGCAAGAGCAGTGAAGACAGACCAGAAGGGAAATTATCCTTGACGAGAATAAAACCCTTAATTTGACAACTGTGGGAGAGACCAACTGGCATATCTATTTTCCACCTTTATCTCCTAAAGAAAATTATGACTACTGAGAAGCCCAATTCTCTGTCTGAGGCACTCATGCTATGCTGGTTGCTGGGCCTCCTTAGAAATGCATGCCAATGTAAGAGGAGAGAGTGTACATTGCCAAATGAGAAGTTATAGAGGTCAGGTCCGTGAGTTCAAGCCCTACTGCTGCCAGACAAACTGGAAGCCATAGATTTATTCCTCCTGTTGATACTCCTATCATCTGACATGGGAATCTTCATCGAGTAGATGTTACCGTTATTGGACTTTCAACATTCCAAACTGGGAGCTAAAATAAAGCCTCTTTTCTTTATAAAGTTAATCTATTCCATGGATCTCATTATACTGACAAAAATATAGAATATTTCCAATTCCTGCTTTCCTTTTCTCATAATATGATTGTCCTTCATTTTCCTATCCATAATCTATAATTATAGAATACATCATTGTTTTTATTATTCCGAATAAACCATGTGTTATATTATTTAAGAATAAAAAACACCCACGGTTTTTTTATCCTCATTTAATCATTTCCTAAAATGGATACACACACACACACACACACACACACACACACACACACACACACAAATTTAAAATAACTCACGCTGAGTGCCAGTGTCTGACTGACACATGTAATCCTAGCTACTTGGAATTTTGAGAATGGGAGGACTGGAGTTCCAGACTGGCTTGGACAGATACACTGTCTCAGTGGAAGTTAGACAAGGTGATATGTTTGTGATTCCAGGCTTATTTTACCATGCTGAGGCAGAATAACTAAAGGCCTCATGCATGGTAAGCAAGTACTCTACCACTGAGTTACATTCCCACACTCCAAATCACTAACTCAAATCAACTAAGAAGTAAAGCTAGAAGGTTCAAATGAACTTCTATGTTTGAGAGATCCATTATGAAGGAGCTGAATTCTTCTCTGACAGACTGCCTGCCATCTGAGTTGGTCACAGGGACTTACCCAGGGCATGTCTTACAATGAATGAGATTTTTTTCTTGGTATCACTATATTTTCACTGTTGAATATAAAATGAATCTAAAAAAGAAACCTTGCCATTATTATGCCACACATCGTACATACCTACTTGAAGTTGGCCAAAGGCAGGAATGTTAGGTAATTGTCCAACTTTAACTCAGGAATCAGACCTCACTCCAGTAGAGTTGGTTAATGTAAACAGAACTCTGCCCTCAGCAATTCACATCTAATAAAATTGTTTCCTTTAATGAATTTGTCTGAGCTGCCAAAATATTGAACCTGGGTTCTTAATCAAGGCAAGTGGGTTTTAATTTATTTTTAATTTAAATGAAGATGTAATTTGATAACGTTTGTCTATTGTGGTTATTGAGATAATTTGAAGTGAAGGGTATGGTGGATTGATAAGAAGATGGATGCCTAAGGTGGTGGCCTGGAACAGGAGGAAGAAATGCCAAGTATGGTATAGGGTATTTCTTTGATCACCCCAGTGATCAAAGATAGGCCAGCTGTTAGCCAGGAGGGAACAGATCTCCTTTCCTTTTCCTTTATCTCTGTCATATCTTGATGTGCAAAAGAAGAGAGGTGGGGAAACAAACCAGAGTTTCTGGTGTCCCTAGAGATGTATAAATTAAAACTATAAATAAGCTAGCTTGTAAAAAGTAGATAGCTGCTGTTGAAAAGATTGGACCATTTGTACCATATACAAAAAAGAGAATTTACACTAAATATGTGCTCTTATCGTAATAGTTTTTGCTAAGCCATACACAGGGTGTTGTAATTCTAACAACACATTTACTCCCACACAGAGTTTTGAGGCTTTTTCTTTCTCCTCACAAATCTGTAGAAGACAGTTTTATCACTGGGTGAAGCAAGAGTCTATGCCACCATTTAATGCAGACAGGAGTAAGGGCTCATTTGGTTTCAACACATAATCACTCTTTGTTGTGACTCCACTAAATAAATAAAGTTTCCCATTCATTGTTATAACAACATATTTATTTCTTTTCTTGAACAACAAATCATTTATAATAAATCAACGCTATATTCTTCATTATCTCTAATTTTCAGAATAGGATGCAGGTTTGGCTTGTTGTTGCTTTACAAAATTTGGGATACCTGCTGAAAGGCTAAGGGAAAGGCTAAAAGAGTCATGCAAGGCTCATTCATTTCTGTGTGAGTCTAGCTGACCTATTGGCAGAAACACCCACAGGATCAATAATAAATAAAAGTATGAAATTCATTTTTCTAATCTTTGAATGGACCTCCATCCTGCATTAACACTGAAAGGTCATGTTACCCTTTTATTAAATAATTTTTATTGAGATTAAGTGATTATATAAATTACACAGTATTGTGGGATAGTGATACTTAAAGTTACAAACACATTTTAAACTTCACAAGGAAAATCATCATTCTCATGGTCTCTAAAGTTTGTGAATTCTACAAGCTTTAACAATACAACTGTTTCTTCTCAAACTGGGTGATGAATACATTTCTTTCCTTTTGCTTAGTGAAAGGTGTTCCCTCTTTCTTGCTAATTCCCTCTCCCATCACTGCCCTTGAGTTGCTTAGTTCATTTTTATCAATGTCTAACTCAGCTGATGGGCCCCTCAGTTGCATTTTTTCCTGTTTCCCTCTTATTCTGTGCTCTCCTCTTAGCTTCCCTCAGATGCATGTCATCTATCTTCTGAATTAGTTCCATGTTTTATATAAACATTGATACATTATGACTAACTAAACTTTATATTTTTGTCCTGACTGGATGTCAATTGAAGTTAGTCTCAATAGTCACCACTTGGAGCTGAAGGTTTCTCAGACTTTTCTCTTGGTGATCTTGACTGGAGGAGTACTAGTCAGCTATTTTGCCTGCTATCTTTCTCATAATTAACAACGATTATGAAATTTTAATATTTTTTTCAGTTTCCAGAATCTACCAAATTAAACATGTGTTGTATTTCCTCATCTTTTAAAAAATTCTTTACTTTCCTTGTGAAAGGAAATTGTGCAGCACAATTGAAATTATATCACATGGCATACAATACCTTTTAAAATTTGTCTTCTTCAGTTGAAAATACTACCCTATATACTATTAGAGCTTTGGCTACAAATTAGTCTTAATAGTCTTGAAATCCCCTGGCTCCACAGTCAGTCTTGGCTTATTCTGGTCGAGTTCATCTTTCTGTAATTATGTTCATTTACACTGCTCTTCTTGTACCTCCAAAATCCTCACCTCCAACCCAATTTTCAACACTCTTCTTCTACATACTACCAAATTTTTCTAATCTAGCATTTAAGATTCATTCAGTGAACATTTATTGTGTATTTCTTGAAGGCATGTGGATAGTTGAGAATATGTTAAATAAAAGAAGATAAGGTCATTGCTCTCACTGAGTTTCATTTTAGTGGGGTGGATAATATAGCAAAGAGATCAAATTGTCCTTTGTTATGAAAGAAAGAAGGAGCTACAAGTAAGTCCAAATATTGTGGGAGTACAGTGTTCTCAAAGAAGCCTGGGATCTCCTCTGAAGAAATTGTAAATGTTTCTAGCTGACAGCCTTTCCTTCCGCTTAGCTGAGGAAAGAAACATTCTCATTCAGTTTTATGTCTAATCAGCCTTAGTTTGTAAATTACCAATTGTGGAATAAAGTGGTTTTTAAAAAATATTATTTTTCTTTCAAGGAGAGTAACATCTAAAAGGCACTCACAAGTTTCCCATCAGCAGTTTCTGAAAAGAGTGATTTTTGACAGCGTTGATCTCATTACATTTCCCTGTTGTTTATTCTGGATCTACCTTTAAGACAGACAACTTTCAAACCTATGCTTTAGTAAAACAACACAGACAGCCCTAAAATTTCCACTTGCTCAAGTATGGTAAATTCCAACGGTCATTAGGACAGTCCTACTTTACACAAAATTTAGAGGGAAATTTATTTTTCCAAAACTAGTCCTGTTCTATTTTTATTTTATTTTTCTGGGGTTGAATGGACCAGGGAAAACCAGATAATCCATGAGCAAGGGTGTAGAGAATTTACTGTAAGGATATTGAATGAGTTTTGAAATTCTGCTTGCAGAACAAGGGCTGGGGGTGGTTTATCTTTTAAGGATACCCATGCAGTCTTCAGAAGGAAGGCTGAGCACAGCCCTTGTACAGAAAGAAAAAGATGGAGAGAGAAGACATTGAGGAAGGGAGAAGGCAAATCAAGGACATGGCCCTCAATAGTTTCTACTGCTTTCCTTCTACTAATCCACTCAGCTCCCCAGGAACCAAACTAAGGGCCAGGCCCCGCCCACTTCCGAGTTGTCCTTGCTGCCGTCGCATGCGTGATGACGTTTTAGCCTCTCTCAGACCCCGGAAGTGCAACTCGAACTTGGTCGCGGCACGGATCCCGTGAAGGAAAGTCCTCCCCGCCGCCCGGAGTTGCACTCGCGAGCTGGACGGCCAGGCCTCCCCGACCCTTCCCCCTCAGTCCTGCAGCTGGGGGCAGAGCTCAGGTAGGAGCTGGGTGGGCGAAGAGGAGCGCTCCGGAGGAGGCCTGGGTTCAAACCCGCGCCGGGGGCTGGGCTGGTCTGTCTGGGAAGGGGAAGGAGACACCCCCAGGGCCCAGCTGTCAGAAATCACGCTCGTTGCCAGGGCATAGCCCTGCCTGGGGCCTGCTCCCGGGCCCCTCGACGGACAGCCCCCCCCTGCCATTCTACTCCCCAATATGGGGGTGACATGTGTATTCCTGGGGCGCTTCACGGTCTAAACGAGCACTCGATGTTCTGGGAGCGCTGAGGACGCCCAAGAGTCCTGGGCCTTGACTTTCTCACGGGGGGGGGGGGGGGCGGGAGCTATTGAAAAATCTCTCGTACACGTGTTTGATGTTGTTCGTGCAAAAATGTGTTAACTGCCAAAAGCTGTATCAGGAAATCTGTTCCCTGCAGAGAGATGAAAGCGCCGTTAGAAAACGCTCTCTGACCCTCGAACAGGCGTGCACATTGGTGGGGAGTTTTAACGGGATGCCATAAGGAGTCTTAGAGGAACACTTTTGTCTTTGAAATAAAGTCACGTGTGTTTTGGAAGCAGTCTTTTCTCATCCAGGTTCTTAACATGCTCTCTTAAGTATTCCAAGGGTTGTGTATCTGTTGGACTTAGTTACTGGTTTTGGCCCTGTTGAAGGACAAGCAGTATTGTGTGCTTCTCCATTTTCCCAAGTCCTCAAAAAAGCTGTGGAGCGAAACGTGTGTGTGTGTGTGTGTGTGTGTGTGTGTGTGTGTGTGTGTGTGTGAGTGTGAGAGAGAGAGAGGGGGGAGAGAGGGGTCTGCAAAGCCCTTCTAATGTTTTTTAAAACGCGTGCAATGAGATGGTGGTTACCCAGTTCATAGTTTTTGCCTCGAAGATGAGTCAAAGCTATATTGCTTGTTCTTATTTTCTATCCCTTCTGGTGAAGGACAAGTATACTGTATTTGTTTAGAATATTTAGAAACTGAATCTTAAAGCACTTTTTGAAGTGGCAAATTGCATCTTGCTTTCAGTACTAGTACTAGGCTTCTTTCTTTTTTTGGTGAGAGTCCTGGGGCCCGACTCAGGACCTGTGCGCTGTCCCGGAGGTTTTGTGCTCAAGGCTAGTACACTACCACTTGAGCCACAGATCCACTTCCAATGTTTTGGTGATTATTCAGAGGAAATAAGAGTTTCAATGGACTTTTCTGCCCTGAACTGGCGATTCTCATATCTCAGTCTCCTGATATGACAGGAGGATTGCAGACATGAGCCACTGGTTCCCAGCCTTTCTGGCTTTTAATTTACGTATATTTCTTATCCAATAAAGTCCACCTTGCAGAGCCAGGGTAACCGTGGGTGGCTTTTAGGCTGTGGATGCTGTAGTACTTGTAAATAATTGCCAGTACTCAGGTAAATGTCTGTGAAACTGTAAGCATCCATCTATTCATTCATTCAAGATTTTTTGAACATCTTCAATATGCATGGTAATGTTCAAAGCACTGAGAAAACCTTAGAGAAGAAAATAGGATGTCCTTATGCACTTGGAGTTTTCATTCTGATGGGTGAAGGACCATCAATAAGTAATGTAAGTAAAGTAATAAGTAATGTAAGTAATGTAAAAAAAAGTGGCAAAAAGATCTATAAAAAGAAAAAGAAAGCAAAAGGAAGAGAGAATGAAGAAAATGCTATTTTAGATAGGATGGGCAGGCTTAGCATCTTTAAAGGAGACATTTGTATAGAGACCAGAACGAAGTGTGGGAGTGATCTCTGTTGGTATGTCAGTGTGTATTAGGCTAGCACAAACCTTACACATCCTTACTGCTTAAAAATCTTGTGAATATTGCCAGGCACTGGTGGCTCACACCTGTAATACTAGCTATTCAGGAGGATGAGATCTGAGGATCATGGTTCAAAGCCAGCAGGCAGGAAACTCCGTGAGACTCCTGTCTCCAATAAACCACTAGAAAACTGGAAGCTCACCTTGAGCTGAAGAGCTGAGGGATAGCGCCCAAGCCGACTTCAAGCCCCATGACTGACAAAAAAAAAATCTTGTGAATATGATTTGTAGTGTGCATTATTCTGTGTGTGCGTGCACACACAGTAGGAACTGTCATTCCTGTTCATCTTCAGACCGTTCTCATCTTCCCTAGCTGAAACTGTATCAATTAAACTTTAATGCACTGTTCTCAACTCCCTTCTGTTCATGGAACAACAAGTGTGCTATCTTTATCTGTGAATTTGAATACTGTGGGTACCTCTTTAAGGCCAATATTGTAGGCATGCAACACTGTCCTTTTGACTTCGTTTAGAATGTCTTCAAGTTTCAGCTGTGTTAGGGCTTGTGACACAATGCATTTTCTTTTTAAGGCTGGATATAATTATATATTACTTTTTATTTATCCATTTGTTTATCTGTGCATATGTGGAATTTCTTCCGCTTTGGTTATTGTAAATAATTCTTTCTGATATGTGTGTTAAGTATCTGTTCTCAGCTTTCCATTTTTTGGTGTATCTATTCAGAAATGAAATTGCTAGATTATATGGTAATTTGCTATACTTAGAATCTTAAATGTTCCCCCAAAGGCTCATATTTTAAAGGCTTGGTCTCCAGAGAGGCACTATTGGGAATTGGTGAAACTGTTAGGAAGTACAACCTAGCTAAGTGAGGGTCTGGCTCAAATGATAGAGCACATACTTGCCAAGCTCCAGGTCCTGAGTCCAAACCACAGTAACACATACGTATGCGTGTGTGTGCACGCACACACAGAATAAGAAGAGTCTAGTAGGATTTTAGTTTATTGAAGTTATATCCTTGAAGTGGATAGTAGAATCTTTCAGGCCACTATGCTTTGCTACCTGGCTATCAGCTAGTGGTTTGCTCTGTAACCTGCTCCATTCTTACCATAGGTCAAAGGCAATGTGTCCAACATCACATACTGAAACCTATAAAACTGTGAGGCAAAGAGTCTGTTCTCATTGAAGATTATCTTAGTATTTGATGTAGCAATTGAAAACTGAATAATGCAAATTTTGTTGAATTTATTTTAGGAATTGATACCACAGTAGCTACTCCACCAGCAATATCCAGGGATTACAATTTCTCTCAAACGTTACCAGCATTTTTCCACATTCTCACCGAGGCCTTGGGCCTTGAACTAACGGTGCTGTCTCTGAGCAGCTTTTGCTCAAGGGTAGCACTCTAACACTTGAGCCACAGCTCCACTTCTATCAGTTTTTTAGTAATTTATTGGAAATAGGAGTCTCATGGCCTTTCCTTTCCAGGGTAGCTTTGAACTGTGATCCTTAGCCTGAGTCACAACACTTGGCCGACACACACACACACACACACACACTCACACACACACACACATATACACACACACAAACTCATCTATATCTATATCCATATCTCTCTCTTTCTCTCTCTATATATAAATGTCCATTCACATGGGTATTATTAGGTCAGGAGTATCTGTTTTTTATTTGATGAATGGGATGTTAAGCTTCTTTGGTTAACAGATATTATTTGGTTCTGTTAATTTTTTGTTTTTGAGACAGGCTCTCACTAGATAGCTTTAGTTGGCCTGGAACTCTGTGTAGCACATAATCCTCTTGCATAAGTGCTCTACCATAAGATCAGGTTTTAATAACAGATTTTTAAGATTTATCCACCAAGTTTTTAGAGTTGGGTTGCCTTTTAAGATAGCAGCTATCCTGTATCTTGTTGCTTTTTAAACCCTGAAGTAAATATAATTGTAAAAACTCTCAATTGTATAGACATACTACTTGCAATAATGCCAGACCTATAAATAATTAAAAAAAAAACAAAACCTAAAATCCTTAAGGCATTTTTTATACAATGAGCAAACTTTGTAACACCAGATTGTGATGAAAATAGTTCAGGAAAGCCAAAGGTCATCCTGACCTGCTTCGGTTTATTCTTTTTAATTGGAAGAAAGGAGATATATAGATAGGATAGCTATATCTATGAAATAGACTTCTTTTGTTGGCCTCTTGAGAGGCAGGAAGAATAAACAGAAAAGTCAACATATTGTGAAAAACCAGAGAAAAGATAGGTTGGATAGAAACCTAGCAGGAGGATATGACTTGATGGGCAGTGGCAAAGGAGATCAGTCTCAGTGATAAACAATGAGCACTGTAACTGACAGCAGAGGAGAGGGGAGCCAACCACAAAGTGATAGAAATGAATACAGATCCACTAACTGGAGTGGGATGGAGAATAAATGAAAGTAGGCAAAATGCATACTCAGAATGTGTGCTGCAGGGGAACATTTGCCCTGAGTAATCCAATAAAGTCTACTGTATATCACGTAGAACTTGACAAGTCCTATGGTCAACAGTCATAATTTGGAAGATACACAGTGTTATATAGCCCTACAAAAACAAACTTAAGTTCTTCAGACAATTGGAGTTAATCCTAGATAGTACAGATTAATAATCTCTAATGCACATGTTCTGAAATTAAAAAAAAATTGAGCATCTACAATGTTACCTAAGCATTTCAAATTTTGTATTTGGGTTAGGGATGCTTATTCTGTAAAATGAAAATATTCCAAAATTTGAAACACTCTAATGTCTGTAACACTCTGGTCCCAAACATTTTGGAGAAGAAATATGAAGCCTGTAATGTTATACCCCTTTATTTATCTGAGTGTAAATATGGTATTTTATGAGTTTTTTATTATTTATAAGTTTTTTAGTGTGAAAATACTGTACAGAGAGGTTACAATTACAGGAGCAAGGTAATAAGTACATTTCTTATCAAGCATTGTTGCCTCCTCCTTTGTTTTTCCCCTACCATCCCTGCCCTCCCATCTCCACAACTGCACTCCCCGCTCTCCCCCCGCCCCAAGGCCACGCCAAAGTTGTAAAGTTTGCTTTTCAACATAGCATTTTGTTCATCTCATTCTTGTAAAGGATCCATCTGTATACCTATTTAAACAATTTGTTTTTTTTTCCTTCCCCTCCCCAAACTATCCCAACATCA